GTTCAAGGGATGAACACGGACCTATATTTTATAAAACTTTGAAAAGAAAACAATACAGATAATAATAATAATAATAATAGAAATACAATGTACAGTAGTAATGTGCACATGCTGTCCAATGATACACCAACAAATGTTCATTTTTATAGGTCAATGCAGGATTCAAACTGAACAACAATCAGGCGAAATGAAAATCTCGATCTTCGATCAAAAGTCCTATTCCTTTTCCGAACCCAAACGCTCCTGCGCAGAACATACTTTACTACAAGACAAACTTCAAAAATACGTAAAAGTCTCAGTTCGATCGCAAAGCAGTGGGCAGATGGCTCTAGTCGTTCAAGTTAAACGCCAACAGCAAGTGAGTTGTTGATTTCATAGATTCAAACCATTTTTTGAACTACATATTTTTTAATTGAGTCCCGTTACATGAGATGGGTTGGCACGCCTAATAATTAGGAAAGCTAATTAGGAAAGCTCTAAACGTAGCAGTTTAGAGAACTCATGATCCCAGGTTCGATCCTGGACTCGAAAATCTTCTTCTTTTACTTTTCAGCTGGATGCTCCCTGGATATTTACTTTATTATTAATTTGAGGCTATCATTTTTTGCCCATTTGTCTGGGTTAGAGTAGTAGTTTTGTCTGGGATAGGGTAGATTTTTGTCTAGGATAGGGTATAGTCTCATTGTCTGGGGTAGGGTGGAGTTTTGCCTGCATGTGATCGTATCTGCTAGGCCACGCTTTCAGCTTGCGTGTATCTTTAGTTTGGGGTAAAGTATATAAAATAAAAAAAATGGTATGGGACAGGGAAAGGGTTTTCAGAGTCGTGCGGCACATCCCCACCCAAGTTGGGGAGGTAGTACACCCCCCCCCCCCTCCTCGATAATGTCTTATTTAATATCTTAAAGTATTGTCGCATTGAATGTATTGACTCATTACACAGATAATCAAAATAAACGCTCATGCGCGAGTGTTTTATTTCAATTCTTGAAATACTCTATAGTGCAAATAGTGCGGCCTTTTTTATATCATACTTCAGCTTTTTTAATGTTTACTTTTTCTATTCTGGGTTATGCCAAATGCAAATGGGGAATAGGTTGCAAAATCTAATTTATTTGTGTAGACGAGATAAACTGGTAAATTGGTGATAGACATACTTTTTACTCAATAAACGTTTCCGTTGTGTTGTCTTCAGCTAAAAACTATTGAGGTCAGACGCGATCTTTCAGTATGGATCGACAACAAGAACGTCCAGCAAAACACCATCAGACAACAAGGTGTTCAAGTTGTAAGGAAACAGCAAAAGGTTTCGGTTACTTTGAACTCCAAGGTAGGTCACGTGATGTCCCGCCCTTTAAAGCTGTCTTACATCCTCCAAAGCTCATTACCGAGAATGAAGAAAACTTCGGGAAACTCTGACTATCGTAGTGCCAACATTATATAGAAAAGTCTCCCTACAAATGTTACTATATACTTCTGGTTACGTATATCTCTCTTGATTATAAAGAGAGAGAAATATAGTAAATCGGTAATTGTGTAGGTAACAGAATACAGAGAATACAACTGACTGTTGTTCTATTAATACAAATTCAGCACTACCTTCATATCAGCTACCAGCCAAGTAATATCCAAATCCTTGCTAGTCCTAGTCTCCGCAACCAGCTACGCGGCCTGTGTGGTGATAACAATGGTGAAGACTACCAAGAGCTGAGAGGTCCTGAAAACAAGATATTTAGTGGAACTCAGGAGTTTGCGCTCTCGTGGAGATCTAAGTGTAAAGGTATTTCTTAATTTTGTGAATGTATTTTTGAGATTATGTGTTAGATAATTACGCCCTCAGGCAGCCAACGTCACAGTAATTATCGAATATTTCTACTTTTGAAATTTTAGCCAAGTATTTTTTAAAAATCGCGCGCTTTAAAGSTTGTAAATTTGATCTAAATATGATGTAAGTGTCCACAATTCTGTAAATTTGATGTAAATGATTTCCATTAAATTTACAGAATTTTGGACACTTGCATCATATTTGCATCAAATTGACAACCTTTAAAGCGCGCGATTTTTTCCAGTGTTTCATTATTAGGTTTGTTTAAGTAATTTACAATTTGCTGATTTTGGTTTTTGTGCAAAAAGATATTTTAAATACCGTTAAAAAAATGGTGAAATAACTTACTGACGTTTCGGACGTTAATCCTTCGTCGGAGCAAAGAGATGGAACTAGTTAAACGTCAGTAAGTTATTTCACCTACTTTTTTACGGTGTTTAATTTATCTTTTTACACAACTGTGTCCTTAATGATGATTGGCAGCTATTTTCGAAAATACGAGTTATGATATGAAAGAGCGTTCCAAAACCATGTTGGTATCACCATTTCCCCTCTACAAGGAATTTTTACTTTTTGAATTACCTATGCAATTTGGTTCCATTTAGTTGCTAGAATTGTCATTTCAACAATGCATTTCGGTCTTGGAATATGTTATGCACTATCTTAGTATTCATTACTCAACAATTTTTGAAACAGCAGTATGCTCTTCGTGGATATGTCTTCTTATGTTTTCTTGCCTTTATGTTTTTATTGATTTTTTCGTTATGTATTTATTTTGCCTTGCATTTTTCAGCAATGACAAACAATTATTTTTAAAAAAGTATCTGTAAAACTAAACGAAACCTTTCTTTCTTTGTTCTAGCTTAATGGAAAAGAAAAGCGGCCATGACATCGAGTGATTATGATACTGGATAACATGCTTGTCAATGTATAGAATGGTGTTGGGTATAATTTATAGGGAGTTTCGTTCTATTTTTAAAATAGGATATTTTCTAAAGCCGACCCTGACTTGTTCCTATAGCATATAAATAATACCTGTTTTAACTTGATAAATCAACTATATTCACAATACGTCATCCCCAAAAAAATACTTTCATGGCAATTCTAAAAATGCATTTTACCTTATTTGAACAAAAACCTGTCCCTTATAACTTCCATAACGTAACACATAGTGTGTTTATTTATGCGTATAAGTATATTTCAAAGGCTAAGAATTATCACTAATTTCTATAAAAGTTACTCTTATATTTTATATGCTTTTATATTTTCTTAGAAATTAGTTGTTCTATTATTTCAATAAACATTTGGGCATCTGATGTGTCTTATATTTATTTTCATATATCCATTGAGTCTGACTAAACGTCGTGGGCCATGGGTCGTGGGTAGTGGGTAAAAGTCGTGGGTACTAAAAATATCAAAAATACGACAACTTCATGTCTAGTAGATATAAGTGATGCAATCATGATGAAGTGAGGCTAAATTCGTTTCGCATGCCAGACTTGATCATTTTTCTCACATAAGTATTACTTTTTAGAGTGTTTGGTTCCACACGGCAAAGTACGTGTCTTGCACACAGGTGAAATACGCTGAGAAAAAGAGCAAAGAACGATCGAAAAATGAAGCGTTTTCACTGAAGGAAAAGATATTCATAAATTCAAAAGCTGTAAGATGTACATAATCCGTTGTGCTTGAAGAACAAAAGACTGTTCGTCACCTTCGTAGTCTATGCATAAAGGGCGTATCTCCCGCAGCGAAGAGCTGCCGAAAGATCTCAGTTTTGTTTTTCTTCTTTGTTATCTTCTATTCATACGTAGAATGTCTACAAAGGTTTCCCTTGAAATGGTTATCATTTCAAACTTAGTTAGCTATTACTGAAGTTCGTTTACGTGTTTGTTTGTTTTGGGAAAACATTTGTCAATTTGAAATGTGATTGTTATTCTAAAGCCGAATACAATAAGATTTTTGTCATCAACATTTAAATTCTATATTGAGTTTTTTTTCTTTTGTTTTGTTTTCCTAGCAACATAGCGGCGTTGGTTTTGGGTCATAATGAGTATGCAGGTGGAAGCCTTGCTATTACAAGTACCCCTTTTTCAATTTAGCACTAATTCATCTTTCATTTAGGGAGTTTGTTTGCTTTGAAGTCATTAAAACTTTGAAACTATTGGATTAACACTTTCCTCTTAATCGGTCAAAGAGCGGAATCCATCTTGGTACACATGCATGTCTATTTGTTATAAATAATTGACTAACGCCAGGGATTATAATGAAAATATCCTGGGAAAAAAACCTGTCTTTGATCGATAAGAACTGTTGGCTGAAAGTAGAAAGTCGAAGCTCCGTTATCTTAATTTACACACAGGGTTAGTGCAGAAGATCATTCTAAGATTATATTCAGGATTGATTTAAAACCAGAGAAAGAGTCGAGTCTTCTTTTGAAAATGCCGGCGCTAAACGAAGCCATTTCCCAGCGTCGTTTCAAGCAAGCCACTTTTCTCATAAACTCTGGAGTAAACGTAAATTCAAAAAACAGAGAGGGATACACACCGCTGGCTCAGCTCTGTGATATTGATCCAGAGGAAAAAGCTTTAAGTCTAGCCAAATTGTTCATCACGAAAGGGGGAAGAGTTGATAGAAAAGATAACCAAGGAAGAAATGTCCTAATGTGTGCAATTTTGAAAGGAAAGGAGAAACTCGCATCCCTATTCCTTGAAGAAATACTCGATTTCAATTTGAATGCAAAGGACGACGACGGAAATACAGCCCTATCGCATGCTTCTGCGATTGGAAATGTTCAAGTTGTACAAAACATAGTACGAGCTTTACGAAGGTATGGACTTAGTGTTGATGTTGCAAACAAGGAAGGCCTTACACCGCTAATGATTGCAGCGAAACATAGACACTTGGCATGCGCCAATGTTATCCTAACTGAAGGTAAAGCATCGGTGTTCATACGTGATAACACCACATGGAAAACTGCCTTAGAATGGGAACGAAATGCTGTGCCAAGAAACGTTTCTAATCAAAGAAAATTACCGCTGAGAGAATCCATTCAAACGAAATCTTCACCATCATCAAGTTCACCTTCAAGGTCAAGATGTCCATTTTCGCAAGACCGTCCTCATGTGCAAAAGCATGAAATGAAACAGCTATTCCAGATTTATGAAAATCAACTCACTTCGACATACAGAATTGGTTTTGACAATAGCAAAATTGGTAATTTTTATGAGAATATTTGTCTTACTTCGCCACAGGTTCGACCTGAAAGTCGTAATAACTTGGATACAGTATTCGAAGGAAGTCAAGCGCGTGCTTTATTCACCAAAAGTACCGCGGTTGTAAAATTTAGAAAGACTAGTTCTATGCTTAATGCTCGTAAGCTCACAAAAACAGACTTATTATCAGCTTCATGCACAGCAAGTAGCGTTTCTGAACTTTTGAGAGATGCTCGCGAATCGTCCAGAGAAATTCAACCGAAACAGGACTTATCCAAACAAGGAATTGGTCGTCCAATGAGGCGACCTATTCGCAGTCGGTCAGAAATTCTTTTTATCAAGAACAAAATAAACGAAAAAGAAAGAAAACTTCCTCGTATTGAGAAGAGGACTTTATCAAATCCAGTTATGTCCTTGCTGGATGAGAAAAAAAGTTCAGTTTCTGTTAATGCAAATGAAAAGTTCGATAATGACGAACAGCCAGGACAAACAATTGAAGAAACATCTGAAATCCGAAGAGAGAAATGAGCGCCGTTTTCGCTTGATTTGAGGTAGAAGACTTTGGAGACACTTGAAGATTTCGATTTACTACAAGATTTGAGGGATCTGTAAGAGAATCGGCATAAAAATTTTGACAACAGCAAAACTTTTTCCTTGCAATGGAAACGAAAGAATCTGCAATTACTACTCTAAAGTGTATGTAACGGGTTAATGAAAACCGCTCTAAGACATATCATAGTTACTAACAGTTTTGATTTACAGGTACAGTTTTTGTTACAAAAAAATCAAGAACCTCGCATTTTTACACAAGAACCTGTTCACGATGACTTGAACTGAAAATCTAGGTTTATTTACGCGGAGCTGTACACAGAAAAGAAAACAATCATTTGCGGCAACACAAACAAAGGTCTAAGTTTTAATGTCGCATCATAGACCTTTTCTAAGTTTTAAATCAATCTGAATCAGTGTGCAGACATGCAGTTTACCATAGACTATGCATTCTTCCGTGTGGGATCAAAATCCTTTCAATTGTGACACAATGTACACGGTCATTAGAAGTTTAATATGCATCATCACTGTTTTCGCATTTTTTTTTAGCTCTTTTCTAAAATGATAACAATTTCTGGATGTTGGGGTTCTATAGAAGTCGTTTATAGAACTAAAAACTTAAGTCTACGACCATTTCTACAAGAATCCTAACGGGTTTGAGTTTCAAATGAGGGAGTTTTTGAAGCCGTTCAATAAAATCGAAAGTCGCGTGTTTCTTATTGCATGGGCAGGGGTATATAATGATGTATAATGCATGGGTATAATGATAAAACACTAGTAATGCTTGTTTATTAAACAGTACATTTTGTTCCAGTAAGTGTGCACTGGAGTGTTTCGAGAATGAGGTATAGCCTAGACCTTATAAAGCTCTTGGCGCGATATATGTGTTATATTTTTTTGTACATAGGTGCGGATTGGGTTTTTTCCGAGCATGGTCTACTATAGCCTTACTCTATAGCCTTACTATTTTCAAAAATAGCCACATTCACAATCCAAATGTCAAAAAGCAACACGTTAATCTCATCAGACTCAAGGAGTTTTCCAGGAGTTTTTAGCGATTTTTCACATATTCAAGGTCTTTTCAAACGCCCTTGAAAACGAGTTTTCAATTCCAGGAGTAGTAGGGCGAACCCTGTTTTGAGTTTGAGTCTCATTCAGATTTAAATTCTTGGAAATTCATATCATCATAACTATTTCTACTTGTCAAATTCATTAATATTAATATTCATAGGTAAAGACAATGGAAAATCATTGCCATGACCGCATCTTTATGAGCAAGAGATTTGTCCTGATTTACATACGATTTTAACTTTGACTTTCACTTTAAAATAATATTATGATATTGATTTTTTTTATAGCAAAATATGTTTAAATGGGCTTTGCTTGCAGTTTGTAATATTAAATGCCCATAAATGTCTCCCACTCATATTCAATATATATTATATTATTATTAATAAATAAACCAGATTCATTTTTTTGGTGATTACTTGTAAGCCACTCAACTTTTAGGGTTCAAAAATATAAAAACAGAAATAATTATTACGACATGAACAAACATCAAACAATCAGGGAATGTGCAAAATCCTAAATGCATTAGTTCACATATCGAATGTCAGATGTTATTTATGTAATTCTAGCGCCATGTAAGTGATTTATTACATATCAGGAACAAGTGTTAATACACTTGCTTGTTTTAATATTTAAGCGGCAACTGTTGCTGTTGTCATTCGATCGACGGTTTTCTATCGTAATATACGCAGACTATCTAGAATATTTATTTAGTAAAAAAACAAGCTCTCCATATTTGCCCTTCATTAGAAATTTATTGAAATTGTTACGTTGTGTCCAGCAAACCATGCCAAATTAATAAATGATCCTTGATGCGATTTCCATTTCTATTGATGGCTTTCCAACAAACATAGACAGAAGGTAACTTTCCAGCAAAACCTTGTCAGTGAATTAATTAAATGTGAAGCATGCAGAAATCTGTGTTTTGGTGCTGCTCAGGGTGATAACAATAGGAAAACCCACCAACTGGGTTTTGTGTATAAGAGTGCCCTCTTTGGCCGAGTAAGATCATAACAATGTATGTTTTCTTTGCAAAAGAACAATAGTTTAATAAATTTCTGAAAATGAAGTACCAAAAAATTCAATTTTTGGGAACATTTCAGCTAAAATAATGAAATTTATTGCAAGGACTAAATTTCTGAACATGATCACTTTGTTCTACAAGGAATTGACTGTTTCAAAATTCCAGTGCAAATGTATAAATTTATTAGCTATTCCTAATGTCTTAGGAACAAGGCTATTCCTGCCTGTACTGGGACTTTAAGAATAGTCAATTGCTGCATTTTTTGAGTTATACAGTACAATAAGAGATTTTTAAATATACTCCTTGTAAGGCTTTTGGCAAAATAGTCGAATTCCCTCTTAGTTGATAATACAGCTTTGTATTGTATATATACGATGAAAGTAAAGTTATTCTTGAATATTGGTCATCCTCTTGTCAAGGAACACTCAAAATACTGTAAGCAGAGCAAACACTCCATAAAGTAATGCACAGGGATAAGCAACAAGGGGTTGCTGATGGTCCATTGCTAATGCTGTCACAAACAACTTTGATGACACCAAGCTACACCAACCAATAGTTATTGCTGTTAAAATGGATCCCAACATGCCTTGCAAGCTTATTACCAATGCAGTCCCTGAGAGAAGTACCATAGGGAGAAGGCAGTAGCCCAGTATACTTACAACCACTCCAAACGAGACATCAGCTAAGCTCATTAAATTCAAAATAGCATACATTGCCAGACAGCCCAGCAGACTGTAACCATAGATATAACCAAAATGGACCTTACCATGAAGCAGCAGAAAACCTCCAAACGCCAGACAGAAGAGGAAAGGTCCACCTAAGTCTGTATCATCCATAATATGACTATCTGTTTGCTTCAAAGGGTTAAGAACTGAGACAGTTTTTTGCCATACGTGATCCAGATTGAAACCCAGTTCTTCTAATAATGGCGGTTCGTCCTCAAAACCACTTGAATGAGCCTCATGAACTTCTTTGATCTCACTGGTGGACATTGGCTGATAGCTCTGTGGAGCGTAGTATTGAGTTTGTCCATTTAGATTAGGGTTATAGTAATTTTGTCCGTCGTATTGTTGTGGATAGCCGCCATATTGACCCTGGTAGTCATGGGAAAATTGATTTTGACCTCCACTTTGATCGTAACTTGTCGGATAGAATCCATCTTGGTAAAATCCTTGATCATCTTGATGATAACCATTAGTGAATCCTGACATTTCAAGTTCTTTTTATGTCTAATAACTGGGAGAAAAATGACAGAAAATATAAAATGAAGCAAACGAGACACGTAAGCAGAAGTCCAGTCGGTCCAGCCCCTTTGCGGCTTCCGAGCGACATCGGAAAATTTCCGAAAACTTATCGACTACCTATTTTTAAATTTCAGAAGTTTACTCCAAAGGTATATAAGTATTCAGTATGCTTAGTTGCTAAGCCATGTCATTGACACAAATCACCCTTTAAGATGGCCATGCTAACGTAAATCATGTTCGAGTCTTGACAATCGAGCGCTACAAAATTTGCAAGTTGGAGTGTGTACAAGTGTGGTTTTGGCGCCATTTTAGCTTACTGCTGTTGTGGAACATCTTCCAAGATGAAGGACATACTTGCCGAAACCAAGCTATTTCGTGTTGTTCTCTACCTCGGAGGGCTGTTTGCGTGTCTTCACTTTGTCTTATGGAAAGCATTCATTGCGAGTAGATCGGCTGATCGAATATCTATTAAGCTGCTTCTACTACCGTTTATTTCATTGTTATCGTTGACCGTCACCTGGAAAGAAATCATCTTGTTTATAAATGAAAAGGCGAAGGGATATCCCGATCTCAAGACTACTTTCAGACAAACTGAAATTGTAGTTGAGGTGAGAATATATATTTTTTTAGATTTTAACTTGAGGAAGTTTAAGCTTATTGCAATTGTTTGTTAATTTTTATGTACTATCAATGTCTTGCCCCAACAGGGGTAGCCCGGGTATACCCATAGTCTCCTTTCGCGCGCATCCGTTTTCGCTTCGGGCTTCGAGGGAGGGACAGGAAGCCCGAAGCGAAAACGGATGCGAAAGGAGACTAGTATACCCAGGAACTATTTACATTTTTGGGAAAAAAATGTCAATGAGTCCCTCTTAAATTATACATCAAAATGACAATAGGCCCCTCAGATGATACAAATTTCCATTTTGAGGAGCTTCAAGAACTTATTATAACGTGATCCTTTATGGAGGGGGACTTTGGGTTTGCAGTATTATGCACCTATCAATGTTAAGCCCCCAGGGGATGGGGGGGGATGGGGGTTGGGATTAGACATTTTTTCATTTTTTTCTGTCAAATGCACACCCTCGGGCTGCTGAATGTGGTCAAATGCAGCTAAAAATCCCCACCCTGGGGACCAATTTATTGGTTAAATTCTATTTAAAAATCTGAGGTTTTCATTGATCAGTCTCTTTCTCGGAGCCTTTTTATTCAGTATTTGATCAATACAAATGTTATAATAAAACCCTTTTGTTGTTTTAGACAAAAGATAATCTTTGAAAAACAAAACTAATACCGTTAACTCCTTGACATCTGCCATCTTGCCATGTGCTGTGAGATATCTGTGGGGGCTTTTATAGGGGCACTAGTCTACAGTTCTCCTCAGCTCTCTATTACTCAGGTAACCAAACGATGGTTGGCAAATATCCCCACCCTGGGGCACTGAATTATTGGCAAATGCCCTACCCTGGGGCAGTAATAGCTAATCTAATCCCCACCCCTAGCCCGGCCTCCCCCACTGGGGGCTTAACATTGATAGGTGCATTACGGTATTGACCGTTTTTTATGCGGTATTGCGGTAAAATGATCAAAAAAGGCTTGCGATAATACAGGATTACGGGAAATATTTTTTGAATTGCAGTATTGTGATAACATTAATCCCAGCGGGAAGCAAGGATTTCATTTTATGTCATCTTAAGCTGTAAGAAATTGTGACAGATAGGATATCATATGTCATATTTCAATTTAAAACTAATCAGAAACAAAGGTTTTCATAATGAAACTTGAGCGACCTTTGGATTCATGCAAGCCGTGCAAGGTCATGCTAGTATCTGACATACTGAGCTATCAAGTCTTGTATCACGGCCAGTAAAGAAGTAGTCAAGATAGAGTCAGTTAATGGACAGCAAAGCTCACAAAGCACTTCAACACCTTCAAGTATAATAAAATGCATTTTCTTTTTCTATGAAGAAGGAAAACGAGGCAAAAATTTTCGTCGGGTAGAACATCTCAACTTATTCTTTTTGCAAAAATTTTTAGTCACACAAAGTATATATAATATCAAAGAGGCAAGATTTTGCTGTTACTCCGAGTTTCGTGCTATGCACTCATCAGACAGTATTTAATGATAAACATTCCTATAATCTAGATATATATGTATGATATAGAACAAAAGGCTAAGTGCTAGGCCATTTACATACAATACGTGATAGTTATGCTAGAAACAATAGGTGTGAAGGTAAAAAATTACAAAGAAGAGTATACTATTAATTAAAACCGCGTAGGTGTGAATACAATAGGCTATAGAGGTGTCAAGTGTTCTTCAAGTAGAATTGGTTTTCACACAAAGTATATCAACTGAGTCACAGTAAAAAAATGGCAGTCTATGTCCCCCTTGATGAAATGGTGAGATTTTTGTTTTCAGGACTAAAACATGCATTGCATGGCTGTCATATACGATATTTAAATTTCGTTGAAAAAAAGTTTAATCTGTACTTGTAAAAACTTTGCGGGACACGGGATTTGCGATATTTCTTTGCAGTATTGCAGGATTTCCGAAATTTTTCTGTGGTATTGCGAGGTCCAGGACACCCAAAGTCTCCCTCTTTATGAAGATATTACTTGATATGGGTCTAAATGACGACTTCTGCTATTTAAATATTTATTGAATTTCCATTCTCATGAGTGGGATAGAGCTTACTTGTGTAAGTGTCCCCTATATTGTATGATTTTGAACCTGTAATCCTTTGGAAAAGTATGTGAAACATACACAATTGTGTTGTTTACCAAAAGGTAAAAAGTGAAAATAACAGTTAATGTTAGTTTAATTCTCCTATAGAAAGAATTGTTCTTATGTGAATACTCAGCACAGCCCACATTAGCACATGTACATGTATTATGTGTATATAAATATCAAACAAAATACTGTAGATAAGACCTGGAAAAAAGATGAAAAAAGATGTTGCTTTGGATGGTTCACTCAACATTATAAATATTTCAAAAATCAAGAAAACATGCTTTCGAGGAATGGTCACGTGACCCATTTTCCTAAATATCTCCTTAACGCAAAGAGCTAGACAAGAACTGACAACAATGTTGTCTTAATATTCATAAAAAAATAGGTGTATTTATTTGTTTTAGTATCTACTCTATACTGGCGAGCACCTTTTTAATCAGACAAACTTCAAAACTTGACCATTGCGTGGTTGATCATGTGATCAGTTTTGGGACATGGTTTCATCTTAAGGAAGTACAAAATGTTAAATTTTAATGTTTTGAATTTTGTGTTGTTGAAGTTTATTTGTCGAGAGTTTATGAATTTTCAAAGTTTGCATCATATTCTGGGCTGAACCAGGCCTTAGCATACTTGAGTATAGCCGTTGATTATGTTTATAGAAGTTATTGCATCAAATGAAGGGCAGGTCACGAAAATGGTTTTGCAGTGACTTAAAGGGCAATTTTGAAAACTAAATTGCATAGAATTGTCTTTTGTCACCTAGAGTCTAGATAGAATTGTTTGCTATAGATGCTTTCATAATGTTACCATTGATTTCATACAATAGACAATATTATTGAAACAGTCAGCAGTGTTATGTGGAAGAACTATCAGAAATACATATTTCTCATTTCTCATTGTGGGTTTCATGTGACGTCACACAAATTATATCTCTAATATGAATACTATGATGATACAAAATATACTATAACTATGGTAAAGATATATAAGAACAAAAATGCATGTATACAATTCTTTGGTTCTTCAGATATTAAAGCTTGAATTCTGACACACAACAGCATCATCAAACTTTCTAAAATATTTAGGATCTACGCGCGCTGTGATTGGTCGAAAACCATGTTTGATTACAGTATCAAAACACGCTCGCGCACGTCAAAAATTTCTTTTTTTCTTTTAATTTTAGAAAAGAAATAAAAGACGAAATTTCGTGTTTGATACTCTGATCAAAACACTTGGGATGTAGGGAGAGCACTCGAAAAGCTGGAAACCACTCCGCTACGCTACTCATTGAACATTCGTTTTCAAGGGAGCAAGGGAGCTTGAAAGCCCTTGAAAATTGGGAAAATCGCTGAAACTCCTGGCTGACAAAATTGGCATTGATTGGCATTGATTGTTAACTTTTGGATTGAAATGTGGCTATTTTAAAAAAAATCGACACTTTAAACTCATTAATTAATCGACACTGTAAACTCATTAATTATTCATGAGGTATCCAGCCAATCCCTGATTGTAATTTGTACCACGTGCAGTAACTGGATAYCAGAGGAAGTACTCCTACCTTGTATTCTAGCTTATTTCCAGTTACTTCTACCTTGTTTCCAGCTACTTCTATCTTATTTGCAGTTACTTCTAGCTTTTTCTAACTACTACTAGCTAATAATAATCAAAGTATTAGAAATAATCAACTTAATATAGAATTAATTTAGTGAAAAAAGGTCTTTGATAAATGACTCCCTCACGAAACGATCCAGAACCGTCCAATCTATATGCGCCGTCTTATACCATTACACCACCGAGTTTCTGATGMGATTCCTTGGAAGATAACATACTTATAAAACTTATGAATTAGRCTCATTAGGAATGCCATGAAAAGCAAACAAAGATAATTTGAAAAGCTTTTGTTTCAGAAAGCCATTCGGGAATTGGAAAACAACAAACGGTGCTTCTTTATTCAAAATTATGAAAACTGAAAAACTTGGTGGAGATGCAATAAATCAATATATTTCTGTTATATGTATTTCCTTCGCTTTTTCCCCTCCAGAATAATTAATGAGTATGAGAAGTCGTTCAAAGTCCTCCAATTCGGACTGGACGGGGTTTCAAGTCCTTACAAAACGCTCTACAATCTTACATTTTTCTCAAACTATGTAGTTTTTTATGCTCTAAAAGGATATGAATGTCATATTTTAATGTGAGTAGATTAAAAATTGTGATGACAGTAACTGAATAATATTCTGATGGGAAATGCAAAAAACGTGTCAAACAGTATGATTAGCTTCAATAACAGGTGTTTGCACAGACAAAATATGTTTGTTTTCATTTTTGCTTGATTTGCCTAGTAAATGGAAATTCTTGATTAACTGTATATTTTGGAGGTTTTTCTTGCTGTATTTCCTATCACTTGTTTTTTTTTAGCAGTATGCTTCTGAGATTAACTACAACAATGTCAATATTTCCCAATAGTTTTCAAAAAACTGAGTCTGTGTCACAGACAAATGGAGCCCTGACATTGTTGCTCCCTAGTCCTTGTTTACTCATTTATCAACCCCAAAATGCATTGCGTCACAAGGCTTTCCGCGGGTCGTAATAAGGACTATCAACCATGGCAAAGATAAGACCTTTGATTGGCAACAAAAAAAAATGACAGTGACAGAAAAAAAAATTGCAGAGTGACAGTACCCAACCATTGAAGTACACATCTTTAAAATGTGGCAATAACCTAATTTCTGTGTGTGTATCCAAAAGAATAGATTGTCCTTATCATTGATTATAAGTACAGTTCTTTGAAAACCTTGAAAAGCCCTGGAATTGAAAACTCATTTGGAAATATTCCTTGAATTGTACTTTTTGTTTTGTCTAGACATGAGAAAATGTTCAGAACTACGGATAAGTCTGTTGCCAAAAAAAAAAAAAAACTACGAAGACAAGGGACTAAGGTCATCACGCGGGATTACCCATCATGCACTCGATATTATGATATTTAGATATTTCAACAATTCTCATGATTTTTGTAAAAGGCTGTATATATATATATATACACAGTATATATATGTGGGAGTTTTCAAAAACCATAGCTGTAAAGTCCAGAAGCCTCAAATTAGATTAAAAAATATTCCTTAAAAATCAAATTTTGAACTTGAAAAGTACTTGAAAAATCACAGGCAGCCCAAGCTAATGAGAGGGCTGTATACATGTATATACCACAAATAGCAGTAACATATAAAAAAACAGAAATTTGAAATAAAGTTTTCCTACCTTGACTTGAACTTATTTCCATTCCTTGTGTGTAGGAAAAATCTTTCTTTAGGGGGATTTCTTTAGAGGGAGGAACAGAGTTCACAAAAACCCTCTAAAACAGCTCCAATTGAGTCCATATTAAACACAAGGAACGGAAATAAGTCCAAGTCAAGGTAGGAAAACTTTATTTCAAATTTTCTGTTTTTATATATATATATATATATTATTGCTATTTGTGGTATATATCATCAGCTTAGGCTGCCTGTGGAAACATTTGGAATTTTGTGATAAAATTGTAGCCCAAACCCTGTATTATGTATAAATATTTTATTTGTCATCACATACTTTATCATAGGCATATCGATCAGTCACAGATTCAGTAGAAGGATACTGGTGGTCTTCCCAATTATTGATGTTCACTTTGGTATTTATTGTGTTCATTAACACCAAAGCACGTCAGATTAGTATGCCAATACCAGAACTCTGCGCATATATTTGGATTGGTTTTGGTGGGGCTATTAGTACTTCCTTTTCACTGTTCTTGTACCGGTACAATGTGGCTATTTCCATGGAAACCAAAAGGGTGGAACACCATCAGATGTCACGTTGGAGTATTGCTGTACTTGCAGTTTGCCTTTGGTTAGGGTTTCTCTGTATCCTGTTCTTATATTTTTCTGTTGACCCAGCTTTCAAGGTTTACTTGTTACTTACTCACCTCTTGCTGTTCCTTCCATGTCTTTTGCCTTCTGTTCATGTTAGATGTTATACAACAACAGCAGCAAAGGGACTTATTCCATTGATATATGCCTTACTCTTTATTGCACTTGCTTGTCATCATTTTTACTTCACCCATCTTTCCATTCCAGATGCTCACCCAAAAACATTTCACAATCTTTTCAATGCAGGATTCTCTCATAATTGTCAAGCTAGCATTTCCTCTGATAGTGTGTTCTGCTTTATTTTATGCATGTTGTATTTGTTTCTAAAGTCAGAGAAAGGTTCTGCAGTGCTTGCTGTTGTGCCATTATTTTTTCTCTCTCCTTGTCTCTCTCTTGGTTCAGCATTTGCTCTTATGATGTTGCATGAGGAGTGTCTGTTAGAGAGAAACATTGGAGTGAAAGAAGAGTAATGTTCATGTACATTATACTTCACAGAGGAGTCTGAGTGTGCTTGTAAGGATAATTTTTGTGGCTAGTGATTTGGTACAAGGCTCAAGCCACTATGCTATTTCTTTGGAACTGTGCGTGAGAGTGAGGATAGATGGACATGTAATTCAGGCTGACTATGCCGTGCTTTTTCTCCAATAAGCCGTTTGCATTATGACGTAACTTTACTACAACTACCAGAGAGCCTGGCGCATTTTCATTGTTATTCAGATTTTTAATCCCCTTGGAGATTATTAAAACAATCGGCACTAATTGCATTACAAACGAAAGTTGGCAAAGCATTCTGGTAGTTGTGGTAAATGACGCCATAATGCATATCGCCTATTCTTCTTATTGTACATACCTTTAAATTCGGAACTATCTGTGGTAGTTGTGCTTCTTGTATAATTACCTCACTGTTTGTACGTTTTATTAAATATATTTGTTACTTAGTGCGCTTTCCATTTGTCAGAACTGGCTGGCCAGACCCACAGAAAATGTCATTATATATCATTCCCATTAAGTTAGGAAATTCAAATTTTCAAATTCTATCCATTATTCTACAGAAAACCTCGAAATGACTGAAAAATGTTGACAAAAAGCGTTATATACCTCTAAATAGAGTGGACTGGCCGGCCAGTTCTGCCTAAATGGAAAGCACCCCTAGCTTTACTATTACTTTTAAAAAATGCATAAAATTAAAAATAACTTGTTAGTTTATTGGGATTTGATATGTGTTTACTTGAAACCTTTACAGTATGAGTGTGCATACGTGTACACTCTTTGAATGGTGCCAGGCAGGCTATACAGTAAACTCAATCCTTCTTGGGAATTTCAAAAAGGAGCTTTCAAAAAACCCTCACTGATATTGTATTTGAATTCTCTGAACAAGGATATTGCAGATATTGATTAGAGCTGCAGTATTCTTATTTAATAAAAGATCTTGATTTATAATTGATATTTCAATTCGCATGTCAACGAAACTCAAAATGGATGTTATGTTTACATTCCTTGAAACAGAGCGAATATCTACTAAGGCTGTTCTTGAAATCTAGTAGTACTAGATTCTCTTCTAATTGTATATTGCTATTGGAGCTCCGCTATTGGTTAAATAGTACCCACTTGTGGCGGGCATTATCTTGTTACCTGGTCGACTCTCGACCATTGAGAGAAGCGGAAAATTTGTCGTTGAATTTTAAGTCTTATCAAACCTTTCAGGTAGAAATTGTTCTTATGTGAAGGAGGATTAAAATAGCGAAAATGTACCAGCCAAATAGTCCTAAAAAACTATACTACAGTTTTTATTGGAAAAAAGAAATCATGCATTGCTCCAGAACAATTTAGTGCAATTTCAAGGTTGCTATGAGTTTTTCAATGTTTGGAATAGCACCAAATGTAGAGTACCGTATTTATTTGTTTTGTTCAGAGTTTAATACATTGGTGAACTTCAAACGTGTCAACATTAGAGAGGTGTTTTAGTTTAACAACTAGTGTTAAATGAGGCAGTGGTCAACAATTTAATTTTGCACTATTTATAAGACTATTTATCCTGCTCACTTTTGACACTTAGTGTCCAGGCTGAACACTTAGTCAATGCATGCAAACCTAATTCAAAAAGGTAATAGAAAACGTTGAACGTTTGTACTTTTGTGCGAAAGATATTAAAAAGTTAATAGGCTGTATCTTGGGTGTATCCTCTTCCTTGTCTTTTTTATAAATTTTTTTGTAGGATGGTAAAATTTTTGCTATTTCTTTAGGACAAGATTTGTACTATCTTTGGAAAGTAAAGGTGAAATCAAAAAGGCTAACGGCATGTTAGAGAATGCACAGTGCAAATGGGTACCTTTCGCAACGCATTGCAGGCAGCTGACCAGTCCAGCAACTATCCTCGCAATTTATGATGTATACGTATTCTATGAGGACATTTTGAAATTTTTCTACAGCTCTGAATCCTAACTTTAAAATAAGCTTTTCAATACCGTTCAAGTTTGAATTGCAGCTCAAAAAAATGACGTCAGGAATTGTGCTTAAAATTTGAGAAAAATAAACCCTTTTAGCGATCTCTTTTACGCTGTGTTAGCCTCAAAACCATGTAATACATTCTTTTATCCACTAACAGCCCGTGCAAATTCAAGAGATYTGTGAGTGTAGAAGACAATGGAACTAGTTTGTAATCTTCCGAGTTTTATCAAAATTTCTGAATATTTTGCATACAATTGAGGCTAGCACAGCGTAAAAGCGATCGCGAAACTCAACTATTGATCGTTTTCAACCATTCCCATGAGATTCAAAAGAAAAAAGACCGGCGGCCATGTTGGAGGAATGAACAATAGATACTAATGAGAAATCCCTTGTTAAAGTTCAACCAAGATGGCCGCTGTGACGTATAGTGAAAACGAAGAATTCTCTTATGACTGAAAATAACCCTGGTGTTGCGTTCTCTTGATCTTCTAGTGGAATTTGTAACTGTAACTGTAGTCACTAGTCCCTTTTTAAATTCGGAATGGTCAATTATGCAATGATTCCAGCAGATAGGATTTAGATATACAGTAGAAAATCAGGTTTTGTACTGCCCTCGTCTTATTTGATTATGATATTCAAATGTTTTGATGTAATGTTTAAAGGCCGACAATGAGGGACTGGACGGGATTTCAAGTCCGCGCAATTAGTTCCAGTCCGAGACGTTAACCTCGGACTGGAACTAATTGCAAGGACTTGAAATCCCGTCCAAGTCCGAATTGGAGGAATTTGAACGACTTCTCATACTCATTAATTATTGGGGAGGGGTAAAAAGCGAAGGAAATACATATAACAGAAATATATTGATTTATTGCATCTCCACTAAGGTTTTCAGTTTTCATAATTTTGAATACATGAAGCACCGTTTGTTGTTCTTCAATTCCATGACGGCTTTCTGAAGCAAAAGCTATTCAAGTTGTCTTTGTCTGCTATTCATGGCATTCCTAATGAGCCTAATCCATAAGATTTATAAGTATGTTATCTTCCGAGGAACCGCATCAGAAACTCGGTGGTGTAATGGTATAAGACGGCGCATATAGACTGGACGGTAGGGGATCGAGTCGTGAGGGAGTCATGTATCAAAGACCTTTTTTCACTAAATTAATGTTCAACTGATTATTTCTAATAATTTGATTATCATTAGCTAGTAGTAGAGTGCTCGCACTAAATGCGTGAAATATAAATACTACAAAATAGGTGATAAATTATACAAATTCCTTTGTTTCCTATTGTATGATCAACACTATTTAATAGTAATTAGTACTATTTGTTTCACGCTTTAAGTGCGAGCACTCTAGTTGGAAACATGGTAGACGTAACTGGAAATAAGGTAGAATACAAGGTACGAGTACTTCCTCTGGTTTCAAGTTACTTCAYGTGGTACAAATTACAAYCAGGGATTGGCTGGATACCTCATGAATAATTAATGAGTATGAGAAAAGGTTTTGCTGTAAATGGGTCATCTTGAAGCTTTTGAATTCCTCCGTAAACTCGAGTATATTTCCTTGCTTCCTGAAAGTACTGAAACTCTTGACTACGGTTAGTTACTGGTAAGTTACATGTTAATTAGATATCACATGAGTTAAAAAAGACATTTGGAGGGTAGTAAGTCTAGAGAGGCTAGATCTGGAATCACACAAGAACCACTTCGTGGAACATAACGTGTCCAGGTTACGTTAAGTATATAGAATTCAGGGCCATTCAGATTGCATTCGTATTATCATCAGAGAATCTATAAGATGAAAGTCTTAAGTTAAAGAAAGACTAGAAATAAAAAAAATTGTTTAGAAGCTGCTCGTGAGTCGAGAATCGTTGAACTGACGAGATCGTCAGTTCAACGGCGCTATTTAAGTATGATCTTGCGTGTAAATATGTAAAACAAATACCCACAGGGAAAATAAGAATGAGTATATTTCTGTACAAAAAAGAAAGAAGGAAAGAAAAAAGAATCACTTAGAATCGATCGAGTCAAGAATAATAATAATATAATAATAATAATAGTTTATTAGTACTCTCTTGCAGTTCAGGGAACTGAATTAACAAGTAATACAATTACAAATTCTAGTATAAACATGATAAAATTGCTATTTACAAACTATTCAAACTATATAATTTATATGATTATTAAAGTATCGGAATGTAAAAAAGTTCGTCGATCTCTTGGTTCTGCATTGCGACACAGAATTGTACAGATAAAACTTAGGCGAGTTCCTCATTATATTTTGATGCTGGTGCAGGTCTGGGTAGAAGATGATGTATGGGATGTTGTGGAGATTTCATTTGATTCATATACTTAGTGCATAAATAGTCTCTTCTAATTTCCAGTCGATCTAATTGAGCCAGTTGTAGGGCGTGTGTACAATCGGAACCCGCGATCCTAAGTTCCGACGCTATTCGAGTATGATAGTCTACCGGGGGGAATAGGTACGTGCCGCCAGCGGTCTAAATCCCTGACCCTATTTAAGACACTAAAAGTAAAAATCTCCATACCCTGTTCAAGACAAATCGGAAAAATAAGGAATAGCAATCTACGCCGCAACCATCAAAACTGCAATTATACTGACATCCATCAAAGACAATAAGAAGTTTTTGATAACACGTTAACCCCCCTCCCCTCCCCCCGGGGTCTCATCGTCTTACGCTTCACAGAGATCGCCGCCTGAAAATCAAGCATTTTAGGAATGGTTATTACCTTGTGAAAGTTTTTGATGCACCATACGAGCCTTGGTATCTACCTCGAGCTCGTTGGGTATTTAACCAAACAGTCTCAAATCATACTGGTTTGTAGCATACTCTTCCATATCTCCATATTGAGAGGCTTAGTTTTAAATATTTAAGGAGGATTTGACTAAATGCATTTGTATCCTCTTACGCCATAACTACTTCGTTTTATTTGAACATAATTATTTAGATATTTGGAAACATTAAAAGAAAAATATAGAGATGTTTCTACAGCTAGGTGCTAAGGGACGGTAGCAAAGTTCTTTTTTTTTAATGATTTACACAAATACTTTGAAAGTTACCCTCAAACTCAGCGATATAATAACTGCTATAGCACTGCATCGATATTTTGACTTGGCCTCAGTCACTATCAAATCTGGAAAGGGTAATTTACACGTAATCGCATATTTTTATGACCGCATATTCTTTTATGTGGGCGTTTGCATGGCATTAATTTGATCCCTTGCTTTCAAAACGCGTTTTCGTAAAAGAAAGAGAGAGAACTAAAGAATTATAGGCCTAAACGCGTGACAAATATATGCGAATGCCCAAATGCGTCCAACTCAGCATTGGTCTCATCTGCTTGCAGGCGTTCCTACGTAGTTGAGACTGAACTCCTACACGCAGGTCAATGAATATGAAGACTGTAACTCATAATATAGAAGCTCCATCATCCCAACACAGATAGAAAAAACTTATATCTTTTTGTTAAATAATGTTCGCGCATTTTGTATTGTAAACGTGAAGTCATTCTGTGACGTATTCACTATATTTTCTTTGCATGTGATATTT